AAAAATCAAGAAAATTGAAAATATAATAACATTATCTAAAAATTTGTAATTTTAATATTATAAACTAGCATTTAAAAAAAATTGTAACTATATGAGTCTGATTTGTTATCCTTTTAAAATCAAAATTATATATGTATAAATTAAAATGTAAAAACCAAGAAAATATAAGAAAAATTATCTAACGATTTACCTGTAATAAAATTATCAAAATTTATAAATATAAGAACAAGAAAACATAATAATAATTATATCTTATTTAATAAAAATGTAATAATAAATCTTTAGATGCTTTTTATTATATTTTGGTTTTCTTAAAAAAAAAATTTAATCTATATATATAATATTGATGTTAAAACAAATCAAACTCATATATTTACAGAAAGTTTGCAAAATGCTAATTTTAAAAATTTATGTTACTAATTTTTATATAATGTTATAATTTATTTTTTTTAGATTTTTAATGATAAAAACCCTTCAACTATGTTTAATATGGGGGTTTACTTGTTAGTTTGGGGGGTTTTTACCCAAAACAAACTTAGTTAAGGTATTTTAGAGTTAAAAATCCATTTTATAAGGATAAAAAAACATTCATATATTTACAGAAATTTTTAAAATGCTAGTTTTGAAAATTAAAATTACGAATGTTTAGATAATCTTATTATATTTGATTTTTTTTCTTTTTTTTGAATTTTTATGTTTAATGATAAAACTCCTAAACTAAAGATTTACCGGTAGTACTGGTAATTATGACCGGCGAGGGTTTAATTTACTAAATAAAGTTAGTTTGGGGTTTTTTCCATTTAATACTTAGTTTAGGGGTTTTTACCCAAAACAAACTTAGTTGAGGGGTTTTTATGTTAAAAATCCTATAAAAATCAACAACTACATACACAAATTTAAATTTAGAAATGAAAATTATACATTCCATTGACTAAAGGTGCTTTCTTATGATATAATATTACAGTGGAATTCTCAAAAAAAAGTTACCGGTGGAATTCAAACGGAAGTTTCTATAATTAAGCAAATGATGTTACTAGCTAGTTGGCTTATGAATGTTTTTTTTCTTTTGACGAAATAGTAAAGTGTGGATGGAATAACCTTCTGCAGTTTAATTATGTTGGCCTTTACACGCGTAACTGAAATTTAAAGCATGTTCTAAGATTCAAGGTTTATCTTTTGTGTAAATAATTCAAGATTATTGGATAGATTGTTATAAATACAACTCACTTGTAGTCGTATGTAATTACATTTCTGTTAATTTAACCAATTCTCTAGCCTCGTAGCCATAAGCTCACATAGTAGCCAATACAAATTAGAAGCTATATGCTTAAGTGAAACGGATGGTACTAGTGGTAAACATGTTAACTAGGTTTAATTTTTTTTTTTTTTTGGGTCAAATAACTAGGTTTAGTTATTCCTATCTTTTGTTAAGAAAAGATTATCAGTACGGAGTGGGATGTTTGGTCTTAAACACGCATGCAGATACGGACGGCAATGTTAAAAAAAGATTGTGCTTTGGGTTCATACTTATTAGTCTTCGACAGCATGCCTCATGATTTTCAAAAGCTTAATAATATAGTAATTATTGATATGATAATGGTTATGCAGTAGCACAAACAGAAAGGTAGTGTAAGACAAATCTAAGTAAATTCTTCGCAAGTACATTGGATAAACTTATTAAAAAATCTAAATACGTGCGTGTTGTATTGTCTACATAACTTTGTTTTATCTATTTTTCTTTAAGTTTGTGTGTCTTCATTCTCCAAATGAACTTATTCTTTAGTAGTGAAACCTGATGGGAAAGAAAAGCAGAGCAAAGAAGAAGCATATATATTAATATATCTCTTATATACTAAATCACAAATCGCTTGACGAATCAAATATTGACATGTATAAAATATTTTTAAATTTAAATAAAAAAAAACTTAAATGAAAATTATTTTCGACAACATAGTTTTGTTTATGTTTATTTATTCTTTTTATATAGGAAATTAAATTCCTAAAAATTCTCACATTTCACCCATGATCTCTAGATCCTTATAACAGTTAATCTATATTTTGAGATATGATCTAACTCACGATCAGAAATTGTAACTTCCTAAATTATATGCTATAACTCCATTTATTTTCTCTGTCAGTTCAATCTCCATTTATATTCTCTCTAAAATTTTTTCTTCGAACCAGATATCAAAACTCAAAAAAAAGACAGATTGATCAAAAAGTTATAATGATCGTAACTACACTTACACTGCTGAATCTATAGTTTCTACATGAAAATCAAAACAGTTTATTTCCAAATGGTGGCACACCGATAGTCTTTGAAAGAAAATTCTTTCAATGAAGTTAAAAAAAAGAAGAACACATATATGGTATGGATTGATAGATAGAGGCATACGTCAAAAAGTTTGCGATGAAGATTAAAGGCCAGAGGTTAGTGAAACTAAAAGTGTCCAACTCAAGTAAATTTTGAAACATTTTTTCTTCATACTTACTTATAACCTTTTTCTTTTTCTTTTTGGTTTTCTACATATTGGCAAAAGGTACATGCTAATGACATAGGTACACGTAAACAAAATATGTCAACATGGACAAATTTTAATGTGGTTTGCTGAAATACGTTTATTTGTTGTGGCCATAGAAGCTAAAATGTATAATATTGCAAATGAAGAAATGTAAAAGAGTATTATGAAAAAGTATTTCTAAGAGGAGAAGGTTCAAATTAAGATTGGTATATTATATTATTTTTTAAATAGTCAATAAGATAAACAATTAAAAAATTTGATCTGTCAAAATCTAATTTTGTGATCCTTCCTTTTTATATGTAATGTTTTAATGATTTTGAAAAACAGATTAATATATATGATGTTTATCAAGTTTCCGTATTGAACTATTGCAAGGTATAAACAACAAAATTATATTTTTTAAGTTTTTCTTTTTATAAAAACAAATCCTCAATTGTAAGTTACCAGTTGAAATTATGCTATTGGTACATTTTTTTTACAAGTTACCGATAACATAATCCTCAAAATAACATTTACTTTCTCTCTGAAATTCAGATTCTGAATTATAGTATAACTTTAAAATTAAAATTTATTTTTACTTAAAATAATATAAAAATCGAAACAAGACTTATTTCAATCGTAAATTATAAAACAGTGTCCTTCCATCGTTCACAACTGTGGTGCTGATATCCTTCACCATCCATGGTCTAACAAGGTTTTTTTATTGTGTTTTCTTCTGATATATTTTGCTTAAGATTTAGATTTTAGGGAGCTGAGATTAATAAGCAGAAATCATTCCATGCATAACATGGGTTCAATACTAGTATACATAATAATCTCATTACTGTATATTTTGGTTTTTGGAATGAAAAAGAAAGGTTGTTGAGAGATGTAATGTGGTGATTGTTTGTCATTTAGTGAACACAAGAATATGTAAGAAAAGAAAAGAATATGTAAGAATTTTTTTTACCAAAAAGAAAGTGCGTGAAACTGAAAACATGAAATAGACAGATTATCTTTGTGCCGTTTTTCTTTGGTTAGGTTCTGAGCTGAATGTAAAGAAACCAAAAGTAGCATGGATATATTGTTGCATGCCAAAAGAAGAAGGTGGGTTGGGATTGAAGTCAATTGCTGAAGCAAATAAAGTAGCGAGTCTGAAACTCTTTTGGAAATTAACTTCTTCCTCTTCATCTCTCTAGGTCAAATGGATTACTAATTACTTGGTGCGGAAATGATCGATCTGGACAATAAAAGAAAGTAGTATTTTGTGTTCATGGATAGGGAAGAAATTCTTAAAGTATAGGGAGATTGCAAAAGATTACTTGAAATCTGAGATACAGAATGGTGAAACAATATCATTCTGGTTCGACATTTGGACACCATCGAGAAGATTGTTTGTTATCACGAGAAGTAGAGATTGCATTGATCTAGGAATAAGGTTGGATGCAACAGTTGATACTGTGATCAAAACGCACCGACGACGGCATAAATTGAAAATCTTAATGATATAGGGCTCACATTCAGAGTATGAAGGAGAGAGGACTATCAAACTAAGAGGATATTAAATTGTGGAAGTGAGGAGACAAGTTTAAATCGGTTTTCAGCTCTAAGGAAACTTAAAAATTGATAAGAACGGCTAAACCGAAAGTGAATTGTGTTCTGGGATCTTGTTCGCTTTCAATACTCCCAAATATTCTTTTATGACGTGGTGGAACACTCAACATCTCATCTCTTGTGTTTTATGTACTGATCCCTTAAAGTCTCGGAATCATCTGCTTTTTGCTTGCAAATTTTTGGAGGATGTATGGAAAGGCTTAGCTCAGAAGCTGCTGGCTGCAAGCTATACTTACCAATGATATCAGATTCTTCTACTATTGATTGATCAAAATAGAGACAACACCAAATTGTTTCTCATGAGGTATGTGTTCCAAGCAACTTTGTATGCTATATGGAGAGAACACAAGCATGGATAAAGACCGTTGACACCAGTGCAACTAATTCAAATGGTAGACAAGAACGTTCGCAAGAGGCTCTCATCCATCTGTGATAAGGCACACACAGGAGGGTTATCCATATGGTTTGCCACTTGATAGATCTCTAAAACTTAGCTTTTGATTTATGAAAAAAATCAATACCAATGTAACACAAAGTGTAAAACAACTTTTGTGTTTGAATTAATTTAACATTCTTTCAGAAAAAAAACATGAATGTTCCTACATAAACCAAATCTGAAATGGGTTTTGGTTTCTAACTTTCCATGGTTAACATATATGTAGGCCCATATTCAGCCCGTGGGCTAACTTTTCAATATTGCACGTGATTGAGAACAAAACTCCCACCACAACAATCCATAAAAGGAACACTAGTAAACGTGCGTATGCGTACCTAACCATAGACTCTGCAACAGTGCTTTTTGATTACTCTTTTCCAACAACATTATTCACAATGCTAATCTTTTTTTAAACTATGATTAAGAGCCTAAATACAATACCAAACATGCGACACGTGATCTCATTACAGAAGGAAAGTAACTTCTTCTCTTCTTATTTATCCTATCCGACCGATATTGATTTTTTCTTGTCTTCACTCTCGACTGAGAAACAAAACCTTTTACAAAGCTACCAAAATGTCGATGTTAATGGCCGCTAAATCCACTTCACTCTGCTACTCAAACTCTTCAATCTCATCCAGAACCAAGCAAAGCCCACGCGCCGTCAGATGGGCTTATCCGACGGTGAGAATGCAGTCACGTGTCCACCGTCTGATCGAAGAGCAAGGCGCGGTGCTCATTCCAGGAGTCTACGACGCATTGTCGGCAGCTATCGTCCAGCAGACCGGATTCTCCGCTGCGTTGATCTCCGGTTACGCTCTCTCCGCCTCTATTTTGGGAAAACCGGATTTCGGTTTGATAACGTAAACCATGTGCCTTATTTACTCGTCTTTTAAGACCCAAGTTCTTTTTGTCGTTTTATCTGTTTTCTTCTGTCGTTTTGTTTCTTCAGACCGCCTGAGATGGCAACAGCAGCTAGATCGGTTTGTGCTGCGGCTCCAGGCATACCTATTATTGCAGATGCAGGCAAGTCTAGAATCTGAAACCTCTAACAAAATATGTTTATTAATCTTTCTAACCGTTAGTTAAAAAACTATTTTATCTGAACAGTTACATATAATTAGTTGTATCATATATTCATGTGAGTTTCTTAAAGATTTGGTTATTTGACATTTTTTTTTTCAGATACTGGTGGAGGAAATGCATTGAATGTTCAAAGAACCGTAAAGGACTTAATTGCAGCTGGTGCTGCTGGTTGCTTCCTTGAGGTAAAACCCTTTGTCAGAACTAGTCTCTGGTCTCTATTGATGTTTGAATGAAATCTCTAATGATTTTAAATCTGTTGTGTCTTAATGTATTGGATTAGTTACTCATGTAGTCTTCTGTTACTCTCTTGTGATATCTTAATTGTGTTAATTAGAGCGATTGCAAGCCAGTTTCTTCCTCTTGACTTGTGCTAATGTTACTTGGGGGTTATTGTGCAGGATCAGGCTTGGCCAAAGAGGTGTGGTAAGAGACATCATCTTCTTCTTCCATTCTCCACATAGCTACAAACTATTTAACTCTTTTAATACTCTCTATTGTCTTTCGTGTAGGACATATGCGTGGAAAAGAGGTATTGATTTCATTTCCACTTTCCAAATTCATAAATATTGCAGATGATTCTAGTTCTGTTCCTGATCCTTATGGGTTCCATGTTATGACATTTTGGCTTCTAACTTGAGGGAACAGGTCATACCTGCAGAGGAGCACGCTGCTAAGATAGCATCAGCGAGAGACGCTATTGGAGATTCTGACTTTTTCCTAATCGCTAGAACCGATGCACGTGCTCTGTCTGCAAAAACAGGCCTTTCAGACGCCATTGACCGTGCTAATCTCTACATGGAGGTTACTACCAAAATCATATTGTGTTAACAACACTAAATGCTTTTATCTTTAAATAAGATATAATGGATAAAATGTGCAGGCAGGAGCTGATGCGTCCTTTGTTGAGGCACCAAGGGACGATGATGAGCTTAAGGAAATTGGAAAGCGCACAAAAGGTTACAGACTATGTAACATGCTTGAAGGTGGACGCACACCATTGCATACACCTGATGAGCTTAAAGAAATGGGTTTTCATTTGATCGCTCATCCGCTTACCTCACTCTATGCATCAACTCGTGCTCTTGTCGACGTCCTCAAGATCCTCAAGGAAAAGGGAACCACTAAAGATCATTTGGAAAAGATGATTACTTTCGAGGAGTTTAATCGTTTGGTGAACTTGGGTGATTGGTATGAGCTCGAAACTAAGTACTCTAATCTCAGAAACGCTCTTGGCACAACAAAGTCATGAGTTGTTTGAACACTCAAATGTCTCAGATGATTGATCAGCAGCAGTGTGTATCAATAATGTTTTCTTTTTCACTTGTTATGAAGCTGTTTGTATTAATAACATTATATGCTTTATGTTTTTAGCATATTTAATAATGCCAACTTCTTCTATGAACTACAGAAGAGTCTTGACTTCTTTTTGAAAAAAAAAACTGAAAAAGTTATGGTTTTAGTTGAAGAGCTTGCTCATGCTTCTCTGAAAAACCAGAGAAGCAATGTCACTAGCGATGTTCTGAGCATCTCTTGCAATACCAGCCAAGCCTTGTCTCGCAAATCCAACACTGTACAAGCCGTTACTCCCCTTCCAGTGTTCCGGGAACTCGCGTTTCGGCATCCCATTCTCGTTGAACAAATCTCCATCATCAACCTATAGTCACATCAAAACCTTTAAAAAAACAAGAACATACTATACCCATTAAGACATTTTATCTTTAAGTTGCAAGAACATACTTGAAGCCATTTTGAAACGCTGCTTTTATAACCTGTTGCAAAGACAATAGTATCCACGGTCTTGATGTTTCCATCAACGAACACCACTCTCTTCCCTTCTACACGCTTAATCGCCTGCACAACCATAACCTTGCCGGCTTTAATCTCTCCGACGCATCCAACGTCTATGGTAGGTGACCGGCCGGTGATAATCTTGTTCATAAATGGGCCTTTAGTGGGCCTTATAAGCCCATATCTCGAAGTATTACCAAACTTGAGCTTTGCTAGGAACAGACACCAACGGTCAACTAACTTTACCGGGAAAAACCTGAGCAGCCACATACCGATCTGTACAATCTCTCTCGTCAGCACGTGTACAGGGCTATGAACCACGAGAGAGACCTTAGCGTTCCACTTAGAGACATCATAAGCTATCTCCATCCCGGAATTCCCACTTCCGACGACTAAAACATGTTTTCCGGCGAACTTCTCTCCGTTCTTGTACTCGCTCGAGTGCAAATACTCACCTTCGAAGCTCTCCACAAGCCCTGGAATCTCCGGGATCACGCCTTCGCTGTTCTCTCCCGTAGCCACGACCAAGTACTTCGCCGAGTACACTTCTCTTATCTCTGTTCCGTTCTCCACCTCCACGATCCATCTACCATCTTTGAAGTAAGCTGACTTGACGTTACGGTTGTACCTAGGGTTTACGTTGAAACGTGTGGCGTACTCTTCAAGGTAACTGATGAAACCTGCCTTGGAGACGAAGGTAGGAGTGTTTGGAGGGAACGGCATGTGAGGGAGTTGACAGTATTGCTTTGCGAGGTGGAGCTTGAGACAATCGTAAGACTTTCTTTTCCACAGAGAGGCACTGCATTCTTCTCTTTCCAAAACTATATTCGGTATGCTCAACCGGTTTAGACAGGCTGATGTAGCTAAACCGGCTGGTCCTGCACCGATTAAGAGAGCCTGAATCTTGATTTTGTTCTCCATTTTTTTGTGTGTGTGTTAGTGTTTTAGTGTAACGTAATTGTAAAGCTGTACTCTGTCAAGAACTGGATTGGAGTGTGCTTATATATATACATCACTGAAGTTTTGGGTGATTAAATGATTGGAGTTACATATATTCCTGAGTTATACGCTGACTACTCTAAGAAGTGGATCATAGGATATGTTGGAAATTTCATAGTCTTTGTTGTTTTTGCTATTTTGATAAGTGGAAGTAGTATTGAATTGAGTCAACACACGGTAGTCATTTTAGATTTCCATAATTCCTCGCTTATTTATTAACTAAATTTCCAAAAAAATATTGTGGTACGAAATTATATCCAGACACAACTAAAAAGTTTTATATGTACGGAAAATGGAGCTCTATCTATATGACTATATGTAGGAATATAATGATTAGGATACAGAGTGTTGCTTACTGTCGGTTTTTATTAGAATGATGAGATTGACATTCAAAGCTGTTAAGTGTTAAGTAGTGTTCATTAATGACCTAGGTGAAGAAACTACTTTAGGTGAATCATGGTATCTATTATACTCGTTAATAATGGACTTAAAAGAAAGTTTCTTAGTTACAACTCAAATCCGCGTAAATATACCGTACTACCGTGATACCACTTAACTAAATGGGCTGGACAATGTTGGCCAATAGTAACGCCTATGGGGAGGTCTTATTAGGGGCTAGTATCGACTGTCTCACTGTCAACAAGACAAAAGCTTCTATTCTTTTTAGACAGCAAAAATCATGTGTTGACCCAAATAAAACAAAATTTATCTTTGTTTTTTAGACGGAAAATTTATCTTTGTTATCCTGCTTTTTTGAAGATTTATTAATTATAAAAATAAAAATAGAGCCAAGTATCTCCAATTGAAGGTTGAAATTTATGATTTTTAAACAATTACAAAAAAGTTTTATTTGAATTTCACTCAAGTAGATCGGTATCCCTCTATTTTATTTTACTTGGTGTTTAAAGTTAATGTACAAAGATTAATAAAATGTCAATTTTTATAAAATCTATCTTGGTTACATAAAAAAAATTCTAAATAAACTAATTCAACCAATAAAAAATGTTGTATTACGTAATTGGTAACAAAATTTAAGTTATATTAAATTTTATCTACAATAGTTGTAGCGAGAACTGTATCTGCTCGCAATAAAAAATAAATAAAATCAAATAATTTGAAACTGAGGAGTGCGAAAGAAGATTAGATTTGTGGTGTAATTTCTAAGAGAAATGTCAATTGATATTCAAACAGGTTCTATGGTGTAGTGGTTAGCACTCTGGACTTTGAATCCAGCGACCTGGGTTCGACTCCCGGTAGGACCTTTATTTTTTTTATCTAGCTTCACATAGTGAAGGCAGTGAGGTATGATTTTGGGATTTCATTGTGCAGCCATGGTTTAGATGTCTTGTTTGGTCTAAGGATCTGTTTTATGGGTCTTATTCATACTACTATTGGTCATATGAATGAAATTGAAGAATATGTCCCGCAGCTAAGCGTATTGTGAGGCATTTGGGAATGTTTTATGTTTTACATTTCTCTTGAGACTTCTAAAAGATAATTATTACGAAATTTGAAAGAAGATTCAGAGGCTTAAGTGTAGGCAGAATAAAGGTTGATGATGCATAGGGCAACTGGTTCTTCTCTGATGTACATATTCATACCCATCAATGAATACAAAAATCGTCTATTTTGCATAACCATGTCTGAATTGATTGTAGGGTAGACTGTATTGGAAGTTACATTCTTAGTCGGCGGTGTAGGATCAGTAGATCCTCCTGAATGATCAACCAAATATAAAATGAGATGGTAAGAGAAGTTTCTGAAATTTGGATTGAGCCAATAGTCAATATAGATGTTAAGAGAAGATCCTGCCTGATGAACCAAAAATAAAACAAGATGGTAAGAGAATCTGAAATTTAGATAAGGGTCAAAAGTCAAATATTAACATAGGACAAACCATGAAATATTATTAATTGACGAAAATACATTTCTCAAAGCTCGTAAGGCTGAGAAGTTTATATGTACATCATACATGAGAATGAGACATTTAACAACTTCACAGTTCCTTTAGGTTCAGATATGAAAACCAGTAGGATAATCTTGAGGTTGTTTCTCAACTAATTCCTTTAAACCAAGTTCTTGCTCCTCAAGATTCTTCGTCTTAACATCATACACATCGTTAAATAACTCTGTCAATGGTTGTTTCTCCCATTTCTCCGCCGCTTGAATCGCTTGTAGAAGCTAAAACAAAACACACACAAAACCCATTAAAACGGCTAAATAACTTCAATCTTAACATCTATCTGTTTTCTTGTGGTAGAAGCTACAAACACAAAAAAAAACACTACAATTCAGGCGATTGTAGTAGTTTTCCAGAACCTCTACCTGTTTTCTTGTGCTAGATCTTAGCTTAGATTCATCTTCCTCACTCCACCATCCATTATCCTCCACCCATTTTCTGTACCTATTCACAGGGTTTCTCGACATTTTCCAGTACTGGATTTCATCAGCTTCCCTGTACTTAGTTGAATCATCTGATGTAGAATGATGCCCTACTCTATATGTCATCGCCTGTAAAATAAAAACAGCAAAAGTTCACCAAAACGTTATTAAGGAAAAAAAGTTGTATACGTTGTGTAATTCTCTAGTTCTAACCTCGATGAGAACAGGTCTTTGTTCTGTTACAGCCATCTCTCTTGCTGAGCGTACCGCGCTGTAAACCGCCAGCGCATCGTTACCGTCCACTCGGATGCTCCTGATTCCGTAAGCTTGACCTTTCACAACAATTCCATCACCTGTAATCAAACCACACAAACCTACTCAAAAACAGAGGATTTCTTAAGTCAGAAAAAAACAGTTGGAAGTTAGTTAGTTCCATACTCCTGAATTGTTCTGAGATATGAGTGCTGATAGCCCAACCGTTGTTCCGACATATAAACACAACCGGAGCTTCCATCACCGCCGCAAAATTCAACCCGGCGTGGAAATCTCCCTATAAATTTTCAGTTTTAGAAAGGTTACCCCTCACGCAAGAAATAAGAATTATATACCCTCTGTTTTGAAAATATTAACGTTTTAGAAAAAAATATTTCAAAAAGATACATTTTTTTTACCTTAAATAATTCACTTGTTTAAAAATTGTGGGAAATAATTAACTACAAAAGACAATGCATTAATAAGAAAAAATTAATATGTTTTTTTTTAATATGTATAAATTGAAAAGGTTTTCTTGTATGAAAAATTTAAAACTTTAATATTTTTGAAACAAAGTGAATAAAAGAAACCTCGCTTGTGCCACCGTCTCCAATGAACGTTACTGCACAAGCGTTCTTCTTCTCCATCTTCAGAGCATAACCTACTCCAGCAGCTTGGGGAAGCTGTGTACTGAACCCAAAAAAAAAACAAAAAAAGTTTCAACAAAATGCATCATAGAAAATAAGAATCAACGCAGAGATTCTTACGCTATTGGAGAGGAGACAGTGAAGTAGTTGTGTTGGTTAGAGCCGTAATGTATCGGCATTTGTCTGCCTTTGCCGTAATCAGCTTTGTTACCAAAGCACTGATTAGCAAACTCCTCTAACGTGAAGCCACGCCATAGAAGCACTCCAGGCTCTCTGTACTGAGGTAACACGACGTCTTCTGGACTGAGAGCGGCGGCGGAAGCGATGTTAATGGCTTCTTCTCCGACGGAAGTGAGATAGAATGAGATTCTTCCTTGGCGTTGTGCTTCGTAGAAGATGTGGTCCATCACCTGAAGCGTCGCCATTTGTTCGTACATTCTAACCGCGAGTTTCTCGCTCACCTTTGGTTCGAATCAAAAATAAATTTATCGGTCAACGTTAAACCAAAACTATACCAACTGTGGTTTATGTAACTGTACCGGAATAAAATCGGTATCGGAGATGATTCTTCCATGCTCGTTAAGAACTCGATAACATGGGATTCTTTGAGAAGATGATTCCGGTATGAATTTCATCTCAGATGTGTAACCAACTTTGCCGCCCGGAAAATCCAATTCCTAGAAAAAGTTCAAATACGGTTTTGATGTATGATTAACTCTTAATGTGTGACTAATAAAAAGTATTGGGGCATATATTAGAAAGTTTGATAAGAAGAAGGGTCATAATTAAAAATATTGTCTGCACTGCTAGTCTGTCAGTTATATTACATGAACGACACGTACTTAATCAGACGACCCCAAAATGGGACCCGCATAGCACTAAAATTGTGTTCAACTATTCATACGTGTGACCTGTGGTCTCTATCTTTTTTTTTCATGCATTGGTGCCCCACTTGTGCGGGTATGAATCAACTGTTGTGGTGAAAATATGGGCTCTCGTACCGGATCAAACCGACCATAAATAAAAACAAATATCTTGATGTTTTTGTACGTACAAATCTTTGACACTAGTATAACAGTAAAATTTGAGCTAGAATGGAAACCATTTTCACCTAAATTTGGTTTCTACTTTAGTTTTGCATCTATTATCTAATGAATCAAGAAATAGTGATTGAACGCTACTAAACCAGCTTGAACGCCATTTAACCGAAGACTATCTGCTAGAGTACTACATTAGAAAGAAATAACAAATCTCCTTGAAAGAAACTAATTAAATTCTCAACAAATAGGATTTGTACAATTGACGTAATCGTCATCAAAACTTTCTCTTGTATGAGCTAGATCCATTGAAAATAACAGTATGTATAACCACGTGACCAAATATAAATATTATAACCAATTAAAGTATACCTGGGCATCATCCTCATGATCACTCTGTTGAACCAAATCAGGCTGTGTCTCCACTGCCGTAGATTCGTGACGATAGCTCGTGAAGGGACCCAAAAACACCCTCGAAGATAACGGATAATTTGTAACAGGACGAGGAGAAGAGTAACTGCGCTTGATGAGAATCGCCGACAAGCCTAGGTTCTGTCTCAAGCTAGAAACGATGTTTCTTGATCTAGCAAACCAGATCGCCATG